ATTTTTTTATTAGTTGTTTTTAAGACTAGTTGTGGGTTTATATAGCAGTTCACTGACGATGTTTTCCCATAACATATAATTATATGTTATGGGAAAAATATCACTGGGTAATTACCCAGTGATATTTTTATTTTTATTTTCTACCTTACATGTTTTAATACAAAAACACGGTGGACCGCCTCAGCGCCCCGACCACCGGGCTTAGCAAGTTTTCTGGGGGAAACCCTGAACTGTATCCCTTGCTATCAAAAAAACAGCTGTTGGATTCTTTTAACTGTGAGTTAATCAAAACATGAAGCTCGTTAAAACATAAAAGCTGGAAGAAGAATTGAGGAACTACAGAAAAAAACAGCACTGGAGGTGGCAATGATACCAGTAATGTTGGTAACGACTCAAATCCTTGTTTCCTCCACCAGGTGGTGGTTACCAAGCTGCCCAAAGAGAAAAGTGTCAAGCTAACTGGCTCAGAATATATCTGTGGCTTAAATAGGAGAAGTGAAATCAGCAGCTCCATTAACTAGCCGATGCTTTAAAATATCACGTTATTCCGCGGCTCAAATTTTTCTCATTTAGCAGCGGTGAACAGAAAATGTAAGAAATGATAAATGACCTGTTTTATATTGTGCATCATCAAGTCTGAGGACTCCAACTCTAGATTCAGTCATTCACCCATTCATGCACAGATCCGCCAACATACGAAGTTTAAACTCTAGAAGATATGCAGATACAGTGTGAAGACAAAGTTACGGAGGACGGAGCCTGCCAAAATTGTCAGTAACTACAGAAAAAAATTAATGGCTTGATAAGGTAATTAATGTGGCAAATATTGCATTAAAAATAAAAACTTTCCAAACTCCTTTGACAATGCAATGTGACAAAAGTAATATTTGTTTATAATTTTTAATATTATTGATGTAACGCTATCACTATTCTTTCATTGTTTCCCCATTTGTTTTTCTTTTTAATATTTATTACATTTATTTAATGCAATATTTTTATTTACTACGACATTTAATTATTTTTCTGTATTATGTATTTATTTATATATTTACCGTCACTTTTTAAAACATTTTATATCGACTTATTTTGCTCCTTTTATATTTCCTTTTTAAATTTTCTTCCTTCCCTTTTTAAATTGATACGTGTATAACTTTGTTATCATGGTGCCATTTTATTCATGTAAATGGAGAAAGAAAAAGCAACTTTGGCTTAAAGAATCATCCCCAAAATAATTGGCAGCACATACTAGGTTTGACTGATGTCAAAATAGTTGTGTAGGCATCTGCCTCAAAAACATGTGTTGGTCAATCCCTAAGACAGATCAATATTATCCTTTTTCCCCCAATTGATGTCTGTGTCCCTCCTGACCCCATCTCTGGCTCCTCACTAAGTGATGAATTTACGTGAATTAGACCATCCATATTTACAGGAAACAAAAAAGAAAAAAGATTCTGTGCTGGTATTTGGTTAACTTACTTGTTTAGGTAGATTTCGAAAGTTTTCAGCCATGCAAAAGAGTCTGTAGCCAAACACTTTAGGAGAAGGCGGAAATCCATAGTGGACAACACAAGCTGCATCTCTGATGCCAAGGCTCCTCAAGCACTCACTGGTGCTCACTGAAGAATGAAGGAAAAACAAATGCAAAAGAAACAGCAGCAATATTGCAATTCTGTAAAATTTTAGGGGAATTACCAAAAATACCTATACAATCATCTATGAGCAGAGTAGTGCTAGGTAATGTAATGAACCTTACAGTTAAATTTCAATTCTTCAGATCACGATTTGACTCGATTTTGATTCAATGTTGTCTTAAATACTTTGATATTTAATTGACTTGATTTTATTTAAGAGGGAGAGTGCATTTATAAACAATAATTACAATGCATGGTTGATTATACTCACCCCTAAATATTAGCAACAATTGTTATAATAAATTTACCCAGGATAACATGAGTGCCAGGGCCAATGCTTTTCCTCCACTGCTGGATGACAAAGTCAAGCTGGTCCAGTAATCCCTTGTGGATCTTGAGACAGAATGCTGATTTGTTGCTGACAGCCTGCAATATAGAAGCATGTGACTGTATCCAGTCTATCCATCCTTTACACACGCGCCTCTATGCATGGACATTGATAGCATCCACTCTTCCTGTTTAATACACGCTCAAACCAAGTCTATTAACAGACATCTTATTGGCACGACTTCTGAACCTATCCCTTATCTCCAGCAGTAATTAAGCAAGAAGTGAAATTTATTGGATAGGTCGCTGACTAAACTTTGTACTCTTGAGTGCCTGAGTAAATGTAAGTGTGGGGATCATGTGTCGCCAGTAAAAATGATCTACACAGCAATTTAAAAAAAAAAAGGCTGACACCACAAAGTAAAGAGCAGACGTGTGGATATTTTAAACTGCATATGTGGTGTTAAAGAAACTCTCCACAAGAAACGTGACAAACATTTCTTAAGAAGCAAGTGCTAAAGAAATAGCATTCCCAGCTAAAACTGAAACTGTATTTTCAATTTTTCCAAGGAGGAGTGCCACAGGACTTTAGACTTTTGTAGATGTCTAAGGCCTGGTCCAAATGCTTGCATTACATCCTACACCCCTCTATGAAGTGTGAACTCATCAAAGTGAACATAAGGGTTTGAGTCCACAGGTTACAAGTGTGCAAAAATTGAACTGAATTGGAACAGTATGCCTCTGCATTGTACCTTTGTACAACTACATCACAGTGCCATAGTCAGGCTTTGACATGTTAAAACATGTGATCAACACTACATTTAACCACACTACACCTTTTATATTCAATTTGATGCAAAATGCCATAAAAAATATTCAACCTGTTTTGCTCAGTTAATCACTAACAGATGCATAGAAAAGCAGGAACTGAAATAAATAAAAAATAAATTAACAAAATAATTATTATAGTGCAACATAAAACATCAGGACAATGAGTTAAAACTTTTGTCACCTTAAATACATCTTCAACCTCCTCAGCAGAGTTTGCTACAATCAATGTCTTTTGGCCAACTTCAGGACTGAAATCCAACACTCCCAGAAGTGCAGATATCTTGTTGCTCTCAATAGTCATCAGGATAACCTGTACAAACCAAAATGCAAAGTCAGAAAAATGTATATTTTAGTGCACATATTTAGACTGCACATTTCATTCCAAACAGTGGTTCTTCTTTTTCTTTAACTTGAAACACAAGTATGGTTCCATGGGTTTAATGGATTTTTGTTGACCCGCAGCACTTTCCTATATATTGGTTCCACAGTAATTCTGGTCCTCAGGGACCACTGCCTGCATATTTGAGATGTGACAAGACAGGTGTGCAGCAGGAGGAAAGTCCTAAAACATGCAGGGCAGTGGACCCTGAAGACAGACATTGAGAAACACTGGTACAGGTGGAAAATGCCATATCCGACTCGGGGTATGCAAACCATCTTCCATCGCCCAAAGGCTCCACTTTGATTCCTTCGGTTTAAGAATTAGGGAAAGAAAAGTTAGACATTATTATTTCTGCTACTGAACTAAGCCATTACTGACCCCCACAAAGTGCTGCTAATTAAAGAAGCATACAAGAATTTTGAGGTGCTGTGGACATTCAATTATTGTGTCAATGTAATCTCAAGTTCTTCAATAGCAGGAAATCAGTCTTAGTACATGGTTTGCAAATTTATGGTAAGCATTTATAGGTTGCCTTAGCCCCAGTTAAACACCACACTGTTTATATTTGACTAACCTGCTGGATGTTACCATACAGTGCAGCCTCCTCAGGGACAGTTATAACGATGGAGGGATCGAGCATATGCTTAGAGATTAGATCATCCATAGGACTGGTCCATCTTTTGGACACAGCAACCAGTTGCCGAGGACAGGATGCTTTCTCTTCACTGGAAGTCACCTTCTGAAAATGTTGTAGGATGGTTCCCATCTGGGAAAAAAGAGCATCAATACTTATGCCTACACATAAACAAAAATTACAATACACAACCCCACAGTCTGTTTTTCAATCATGGCAGAATATGTTAAAATAACTTCCTGCTTTGCCTCTCAAGCTAGCACAGCAAACGTAAAAAGTTTCTGACAGGAAAGAGACAGAATTAACCATCCAGGAGCCAGGCTGTGGAGGACTCTACTGCAAAAAACCCAAGAAGTCATGGCTGACTAAAATCAGAAGATATGAGACAGCATTTGTGCTAGATGAATGTAACAATTATTTAATAGTGAACAAAAGTGAGAAAAACAAACTAAAAGTCAATATTTCTTTACATATTTTGTAGCATTGTCTGTGGGTTTGCAAAGGAGGGCCAAGGCATGAAGAGTTTGGAATCCTCTGACCCAGACAACAGCATGGCAGACAAACTCCTAAAAGTGTTAAGTTTGCTGCCATTTTTTTAAGTTCATTGTAACGGCTCCTACTTGATAACAAAAGCAGTTACCTCATCAGGTGCAAAAGTGAAGAGCTGGTCAGCCTCATCTAATACTAGATGATACAGTCGCAGGAAAAGAAAGCAGTGACAAGACAGCAAACGGACAAGAGTGAATGGGGTGGTCACTAATAGCAGGCCTGTTGTAAAGAGAATAAAACATTTAAACTTAGATCTAACGAAAGTAAGATATAGTCAGAAGCTGAATGGATTGACAAAGCCTTGTTTCTGTTTTGCTCACAGTTTTTGGGGAATTTTACAGCCTTGGCTTCATCCTTGCCAATGCCCACCAAGACAATAATTGGGTGGAGGGTTTGAGAAACCTTGCTTTCTTCCAGCAGGTTGTATATCATCTGAGCCTTCTCCCAGCCTGGACACAGCAGCACTGCTATGGGCTGTATGCAAACACAATATTAGAAAGCAGGCACAAATACAAGTGGCTTTGTGTTTTACTAAATATTTACTCACCCCTGAACTGGAGAGGTGGGAAAAGAGGAGGGAGTTCAAAAGAATGTGGGTGAGCAGGGGGATAAGGTAGCCAAGTGGCTGATCAGCATTCTGGGAGATAACGAAAGTGTTGCAGCCACGAGCCACAGCTGGCCAACTGTAGCGGTCAGCTGGAGAAAGAGTGTGATAGTTTTTCCGAAGCAACACCTGCAAGACAAACCAGTTATATGGAATTTAGGCAATTTAGAGGAAACAGATCTTAATGGTGGCGACGGTGGGAGGAGTTCATGACGCAATCAGTGGGTTACTGGGTCAATTGCTTCTTCCCCCGCCTCTGTATCCTTGGGACAGACACTTCACCTGACTTGCCTGCCAGAGTATGGCAGTCTTGAAACCTGGCAGACTACTTACCTGATCTAGTAAACAGACTTATTTATTTGAAGCAGAATTGTAACTTGATGAAAAAGTGTTTAGAGTGATTTGATGAACTGAAATTTAAATCTAGGTATAACTTAGAAAAAAACACAATTGAATTAAATTATCTTATGAAATAAAAGAAAATCTAAATTCTAAGTGCAAATGCTAATATCGCTCAACAGCTCAAGAACATCTCAAACTGAACATTTCACTTAGCGTTTGTCAACGGGGGCGTTCAGAAGATGGCAGGGGGCACTGGCGAAAATTTTTACAAAAGGAGGGCGCTGGGATTCCTTTGGGGGACGTTTGCTCGAAGGTAAACTTTACACCTTAAATGCACAATAATACCAGTTAAGACTTTGAGCAACTTGCTGAAATTGTATTGTGTAACATTAAAACATGCCTGGCTGCAACTGTATCGATGGTAGCTCTCCTTCTCTTCAATTTTTGTAGCTTCTTGGCGCAGCTCCGTTCTCCTACTGCTATAGCTTCCCCGCATCAGTTCCGCGTTTCATCAGCTGATGACGCTGCTGTGAGATTCACTTGTCTGGTGTCTGATTTTCAAATATTTTATGTTTTATTGAGGATTTTTGTACATATGTTTTGCTGTGATCATGTCAAAGCAGTAACTTATATTAAAAAGTGTTTTAATGTCCATCTGAATACTGCCCGCTTCCATGGAAGGACAACGAAATATCGCTCTTATAAACGTGATTACTAAAATCACGATACCCTCACTGTGTATCCCTCTGAAAAATGAACCCATTTAAATAAAGAAATAAAGAAATCCCTCCATGGCGACAGCACGATAGAGAGCGTTCATTTTATAGCGTTAACACCGGAGCTGTAAGTGGTCCTGTATGAAACTGGGGTGATAGAACAACACAGCACTTTTAAATTGCAATAATTAGACTACCGAAATTGTTTCCGTTGTTTTAAAAGGTTTATGTCAGTCTGCCTTTTCCCCATCGATACGCTTCCCGACCGCCCTGCACCTTAAGGGCTTAAAAAAAAGACGCACATATTGCGCAAAACTCTGAAACAGGAGAAGCGGGACATAAAACGGAGCGACGAACTAGATGTGAATTATGGCATAAAAACAGAGAATCCGACGCTGAACAGTGAAAAAAATCAACACATGATGTGAAACACATGACGATTAGGCGGCGCAGCAGGTGATGAGTGAAGATTACTGGTGGTGAGCGTCAATAAAGATAAAATAAA